GCAGATACCCCTAGGAAATCTCTTCTTTTTTACGATGTTGTTTACAGGTCTTTCTTTTGGATTTCCAATAGGTGTTCTAAAGCCAAGTTTAACTTGAGTTCTTGGCTTCATAATCCTTTTTCTGCTACAATTACTTTGTAATGGTTCCTTTCTAGCTTCTTGCTAGCTTTATAAAATTCCGTTGTTCAAAAAAAAAAAAACTAAATATAACGTTTGATTTAGCGTTATGTTTGAAAGTTATTAGTATTTAATTTAGATATTGGTTATTTGACCAATTTGTAATGTAATGTAATGTCATTCATGACTTTATGATATTTTTAACTATTGTTATTGTGAAATCAATAAAAAAAACCACTTGTTTTGAGAAAAAAAATATTATTATAAATAATATTTTTAGATATTTTTAGTTCATTTACATGTCAAATTAGGTTTTACGTTTAAAACATTTAAAGGTTTTAAACTAATTAAAAAAAATAGTCTTTGACTATTTTTAAGTTTATTCGATATTTTGATTTATATTTTGGATTTAATATGATATATAAGTGATATTTATTTATATTTTGGATTTAATATTATATTTAAATTAACATTTTTAGTATATTATATTGATAACTTTGGATTTGATATGATACATAAATGGCATTTTATTTATATTTTGTATTTAACATTATATTTAAATTAACATTTTAACTATATTTAATTGAAAATTCAAAAAAGCTACCATTAATCTGATAGTATTTCACATTTAATAACATATTTAAATTAATATATTAGATATATTATGTTGAAATTTGATGCGTTTTTTGGGGGTTTCAAATGCATGTGGCGCTTAAAAATATGTATATATTATTATATATACTAGGCAAATGTTTGCGCGTTGCACATAATGCATACAGTTTATTATGTAAATAGTTTTAGAATTTTTTTTTGAGTTAATTTATGATTACAGTTTAGGTTTTACATTTAATATTACAACTTTTAACTTCTAACTATTTACAAAATAGTCTTTGTACTAATACTATAAAGAAAATTGAATCCTTCCTGCCTTATTCTCCAGGGCTTATCTATTTTACTTATAGACGGCTTCTTTTATTTTAATATAGGATTCTAGTTTCCTTATTACTTTCTAGTTTCTCTTGTATATAAATTCTCGATTGCTTATTGAATGAATTGAGTTTTTCCAATACCAAAATCTTTATGGTATCAGAGCAGGCCTAGATCATATATGTTTATAACAAAGGCACTATGGCTAGAGATGATGGAGGATCCACTCCTTCGAAGACCGATGGAACCAACAACGCCATCGATACAAACTCCCCTTATTACATACATGCTTCAGACTACCCCAGACAGTTGCAGGTCAATGACGTGCTCACCGACAGCAACTACAGTGATTGGTCGCAAGAGATGTTAAACTTCTTGTTCGCCAAAAACAAAGTAGGTTTCATCAACGGAACACTACATGGCATGGATGAGGTGTGATGCTATGGTGAAGGGTGGGCTCACTACATCAATGGAGAAAGGGATCATATTTAGCGTTAAATATGCAAATATTGGTTCCGAAATATGGTCAGACCTCCATGAAAGATTTGGCAAAGAAAGTACACCAAGGGCATATGAACTGAAACAGACTCTCACCATCATGAACCAAGAAGGCACTTCTGTATCAACGTACTTGTAACGTCCCAAAAATTATAAGTATAAATTTTCTTTTAAATCAAACAAACAACCATTCAATCATTGAGAGAATCCCATTGGAGTATAAAACATGTCATACAATCATCAGAGTACAAAATCATAAAATGTGGAACACTGGTGAATGTGGTGTGATCATGTCGGGCCCTTCCCTTTCAAACCAGATGTACCTGAAACCATAAACATAAAACTATATGTACAAAGCTTAGTGAGTTTCCATAAAATACCCTATACTAAACATATATATCAGCACGTTGCTAAACCGGGTTTATTTCACCCAGAGTCTATTTCAAATCCTTTGGTATCTTTCAACCGGTACGGGTCTATTTCACCCCCGAGTCTATTTCAACTCCTTTGATATCTTTCAACCAATACAGGTCTATATCACCCCCGAGTCTATTTCAACTCTTTCGGTATCTTTCAACCGATATGAGTCTATTTCATACACTACATCTAAGCATACGGTCATATTAGCAAGAGTCACAGAGACAACAAGCACATGCATGCATATCACCAAGTGTCACAAAGACAACTATCATCATACAAACATTATCTAGTGGGTAACAATCCTTATGTTGCGGATCCAATCATTAAAATTGTTCCCATCGAAGATTACCCTCCCACACAAATTTATGAGTGAGAATGAGCCGGAGGAGTTCGAGCCTTGAGCGCTGTTTGAGTTCGACATCTGAAAAGGAAGAGACAAATTTTGATTAGATAATAATCCCCAATTAAACACCCAAATGAGAAATTAGGGCTAGGATCCAACAACATTATTTACAACTTAAAAGAGGGATGCCGTAATTTAAATTGCAAATAATTTGAAGGTAAGTGAATGACGATTCACTAATTTCCACCATGAAAAACAAAAGGTAACTAAAATTTAAATGTATTAAAACTCCTAGATCTTTTGAGATTCATTGAACTTTTCAATGACATGTTTAAATCTCGATATTCCCTTCAAGTTTGTGACTGGGATACCGAGGATCACAAACAAGGTGTGAATAACCATGCGAATGTATTTGGTGCCCTAGATGTTACAGTCACCTAATCAATGTGCCGATTAGCCACACACGCTCCATTGATCTATGACAAACAACAAGTCACCCTTTGCCACCTTTGCTTAGAGCCATATTAGTGTGCCGGTTAACCACACACGCTCCACTAACGTCTTAGCAAGGGTACAAAGTGTAATTCCATGGAATAGCATCAAATTCACATTTTTCCTAAAAGTAACTAAGATTGGGAATTTTATAAAACATTTAGTTACTTCATTAATCATTATACTTTTAATGAGGAATTAGGTTGTCCTATCCTACCCGTTCGGCTAACGACCCTCCACCAATCAAGGAAGCGGTGGGTGAGAGTGGACACCCATTAAACGGCCATTTTATAGGTCATAACCTTATACCCCCCCCCCCCTTATAGATTGGCTTCGTGAATGAGGCCTACTAACGGTAAGACTAGCATTTATCTTATACATATATAATAATTATTCTTATAATATTATAATAGTATAGGGGTGAATTTTAAACTTGTAAAATTCTAGGGTTTGGTATTTAATTATTTCAAAATTAAACTTTTAATCAAAAATTTGAATTTCAAAACTTGTGGGCAAGTTTTGAAACATTTCAAAACTTGAGGGCAAGTTTTGAAACATTTCAAAACTATCTAGATCAAAATTCAAAAAAACAATTAAACAATTAATTTGATGATTATCTAATTTTGACCTAATCCAATTGCATGCATGATAATTGATCAAATAATTCAAATAATTAACATTTATCAAATAAGGTAATAATTATTTAATTAAATGACCAAAATCTTTTATTTTGACAAAGATAATCATCTAGAATCAATAAAATTCGAATTTTATCAATTAGAAACACTTATGGCAATTATCCCAAGTCAAAATAAGCAAAATCCCAAAATTTCCTATGTCTGACTGCCCGACTCGCTGAGTCCCTTACTGGACTCGTCGAGTTCATCCGACTCGACGAGTCCTCTTTGGGACTCGACGAGTCTGTCATACAGAAGACCAAAAAATCGAATTCAAGTAATGAACAATCATACAATGCATCAAATACAATAGAAACTAAGCAAGACTCTTATACCACTAATGGGTTTAGAGCAAAAGAACAATCATATGTGCTCATGCAAAACCTTAAAGCTTGGATCTAGGTTTCTCTATTGTACATGCAATTCATCCAAGACTTGAATACCCTAATCTAGCATACTACAAAACTTGAGATCTATATAAATAACCAAGTAAGAATATTACCTCTTGATTGTAGTATGAAACTTGAATCTCCAAAGCTTACGAGAACCAAGCACATCAAATGCGATGCCTCTAATGGTTTACAAACACCAAGGAAAGAGGATGATGTTTAGGAGAGAGGATGAGAGGCTAGAAATCGGCTCCAGGTTTCTAAGGGATCAAGTGGCCGATTTCCAATGCCTTAGGGGTCCTTTTATACTTGAGCTGCTAGGGTTTTAGTCAAAACCCTAATTGAATAGCTTAGGCCTTAAGTAGTCCACAAAACCTTCCAGAATAAGGCCTCATTGGACGAATTCAAGATGGACTCCACCTTAATTTCGTCCATGCCCTATTCCATAAGGATTCTCAGCCCAAAATCAATTATCTTATAATTGCAGTTCCAGTCCCCTTTATTTAATCAATCTCTTTTAGTCACAATAATTAATTCTTAATTAATTATTTAACCAATATTAATTAAATAAATATGATTTCTTTTTTAATATATTATTCTTATAATATATTAATAAACCACAATATCCTCTTTCTTTATAAATCATTCTGTCCAGTTGCTTTGGTGAAGGCAACCGAAAAGGACAATGCTCAATCGGGTTAAGTACATATCAAATATAGTTATGGACTTAAACACTAATCCAACAATTATGTGGTAGTGGTAGGGGTGAAATATGTTGGATTAATGTCTAAGTCCATAACTATAATTAGTAAGACTTGACCCGACCCGGCATGGTCCATTTGGGTTGCATGGCATCATGCATTTGGATAGACTATAATGAGAGAAATAACACTTAAGGTTGGTTAATATATTATAAGTTCTAATATATTAATAAGGTTATTTAATTAGTATTGATCAAGAATTAATTTGGAATTAATTAAGTGATCAAAAGGAGACTAATTAAATATATGGGTTGATTGTGTAAATCATTCATTCTTATATATGTGGGCTTGTGATCCAAGATTTCTTATGTTGGACTAAGTTCATGGGGTGACCCATGGATACTCCATGGAGGTTAAAATCCATGGAGCATAAGGAATGGGTAAAGTTATGAGTTACATGGTGTAACCCTAATAGCCACCATATAAAAGAATCCCATGGCTCAAGAAATCGTGCACTAATGTGTGAATATGAGGGCTAGACGATTTCAAGGAGTGTTCCATTTCTCTCAAGTCATTCCATGTGCATTTGGTGTTGTGTGAACCATTTGAGGTGTCACACTTGGGGCACTAGGCACTCAAGCTTCATGGAGACAAGCTACATCAAACAAATGTATGTATTCTATCCATTTGATTACCCAAGTATCAAGTATTGTATGCTAGATAGGGTAATACCTTGGAAAGTTCATAATTGCATGTATAATAGAGAAAACATAGATCCAAGGTATATAGGGTTGCATGTACACTTAGGAGTGTTAGAATGCGCAAAACCCATCAGTGGTATCAGAGCCAAGACTTGTTTTCTTGTTATACTTGCAAAATTAGTTGAAAAATCGAATTGTATTAGTTTAAAAGTTATGCTAATTACTTGGAAAAAAATTTGATGTGAATTATCTTTGTTCATATAAGTTTATTAGATTAATAGAAAAGTTAATTGATTATGTCGATATTTATTTCAAGAAAAATGTTCTACCTAGATGACTCACTCACTCATTGGTCATCATATGTGTTTGAGCATTGGCGGACCTATGTAGTGCATGGGGTCCCAAGCCACTACTCTCATTTAGCCTCATAGTGTAAAAAAATGTTTTTCTTTTAGGTGCAACGCCTTTAAAATATGAGTGTCGCTATTATTTTTTTGATGCCACCACTATTCGAATGTTTTGCGTCCTCCACTGTGTTTGAGATTGTTTATTTAAAATTTTATTAGTAACACGAATAAGCTAACCTTTTGTTGCAAAAAAATAGTTTGGGCTTCTTGTGGTTTGATATTTTAATTCATAGTTTTGATCTTAATATGTTACTTTATTGGAGTTTGTTACAGTTGATAAATACTTTGTGTATTTTGATTGCACCATATATAACTTCTTTGAAAACAAATTACAAGTTGCACAATATAACTTCTTTGAAACAAATTACAAGTTTATTTGTTTTGGTACCGCATATGGTAAATCCATACAACTATATATAGATTAATTTCAAACCCACTTAGAGAACAGTACTTTGGTTCCATTGGCTGATTTTTTTATTATTTTTTTCTTTTATGTTTTATTTTTTGATTGTTTTTTTTATATTGTTGGTGGATTACACGTGTTAACAACTTCAACTGTCTGCCATCATTTTTTTTTTTTTTTTTTTTTTCATCGATTTGTATAGAAGTAATCTACACCACCATCAATTTGGGATTTGCAGGTAAAGAGGCTTTGATTTCGGATTCAAACCTGTCCATTGACACCAGGTCCCATGTCACGCGCCTTCTTACCCTTCTGTTAACCATCGGCGCCTCTCATACCCATGCCTCCTGTTCAGATTGTAAATCAGGTATGTCTTTCTGTACTTTCTCGCTTCCATGCCAATTCCGCCATCATCTACCAATTTTGGCCTCTGAGATGTTGCAATTTAGGAATTCCAGCCAACGGAATGCGCTTGCTGTCACCGAGTAAACATCTTCCACCGCCTAAAGAAGCCACACCTGCACTCAAGTCTACTATCATGACAACTGGTGGGCAATCTCATCCAACATGTTCTGGAATATGATCCACCGCGTCAATATTTACATAGCTTTCCCCCACCATCTATATGCCATCAAATTAAATCTCTGTTTCGTTTTCCAGAAATTGCAATAGTGTACCCACCTGCAGTTGATTCCATTTGATATCGACACCGGTGGGAGAAGAAGACGTCGGACCAGGTCTAGCACACCCAATCGCATAGGAAAGCCCTAAAATCGATTTTCAGTGGTTGCGCATGTACTCAGTGATGACGTATAGTGGGAAAGACGAAAGAGACATCAAAACCATGATTGAAGTTCGGAAAAAAAGGAAGCACATCGCTAAAAATGAAAATTGAGGTTTCTGTTTCATCTTTCTCTATCTGATTTACCAGACAGTTTACTTTCTTTTTCTACCTGCTTCGTATTCCACCTGCCTTCTTTTCTTTCTTTCTGAAATCGAAACTTGATCTTCTTATCAGATTCGCTTACCACATGTTCGATGAAATGCCTTTGAGGCATTCACAATGATTATAAGTAACTCATCACCGTCGTGCCTCTGGAATTGGTATATTTCTCAGTTTTTTTTAATTCATTTTTATAAGTTTTAGTTTACATTGCAAGTTCCAATGGGTTGATTGGTGACTGATTCGATTTTTGATTTTTCAATTTGTCATAATTGTGTGCTTATTGATGTGTTCAGGTTAGGGCTTCCAGTTCAGTTCTGGGCACGCTGTTAAAACTTAAACTCTCACCATTTGTCTCTAGATTTCTATTTAACAGTTTCAAGCAAACGCACAAGAAACGGAGCATCTTTCCTATCACTTTTAAGGTATCTTAGAACTCCTAATTTTCAAGATTTGTTCTTATTCATTCAGGATTTATGAAATTAGATAATATGTTGTGTCAAATAATTGGAAATTTTACAGGCGTACAATGTTGGAAGGGAGACAACAGTTGTGTTGCAGCTTAAAAGTGATTGTTCTCTTATTTCGATTAGCAGCCTCCAGTAATCTAGGAAACTTGAAGACATGATCAAATCATAAATGAGTTGCTCAATGAACTGATCCTGATTTGATTTGGAGTTTTTTACTTGAATTTTGTTTTACAAAGTTGAGTTTCTTTATTCGTTATTTATGGTTTTGTTTTTCAATTTGGATTATCAGTTGAGAGTAGTTATTCATGGTGTTGAAATTATGTCTAAGTAAGATTTTTTTATTTTAAATACTGTTTAAACATCTTCATAACAACGATTGTTTATTTACTACTTTTGGGTGACCTTACCTTTTAAGGTTCAAAAGTGGGCATGTGACATGTACGATGAAGATTTTCTCATAAAAACATTATTCAGCCTTTTTTTATGTTTCATAGAATTTAAAGATGTGAAATTTCAGTGGTTCTTTTAGAAGAAGAAGCTAACTGTATCTTTGTTATCAAAGAAGAGAGAACTTTATGGAGTTGAAAGCCCCAAGAAAATTTACTAAAGAGTTATTGGTTGTTAATGCAGGGATTTCAAGATGCCTGATAATGATGTTGAGTAATTCCATTCCATTCCATTCTTTACTTTCCTTTTATGAAACCAATTGACATTCATTTTTGGACTTTGTAAAATTACCAACATTTAACATTACTTTTTCTTATAGTAACATAGGAAAAATTAGAGCCAGTATATGTAAATCATTGTATAGTTTGTTGCGATTTCCCTGGTTTTTTCTTAAATAAATTGTTTCACTATACTTCATCTATTTTATAATATAAATAAATTATTTATTGTTAAGCGGCGTTTGTGCAAAACAGGATTTCAATTGTTTCATGTTTGGCGATGATCACATAAGTACTTTTAATTCCACTTCTACTTTTTAATATTGATTGGGTTCACATGGTGTGCAAAATACAATACCATTTTTTATGTTTTCATTACACGTAGAATATATAAAAATTGAAAATCAATTAAAGATGATGAAAACAACTGTTGCTACAAAAATCAAAATTTCCTTTTAAAAAAAAACATAATAATAATAATAATAATAATAATAATAATAATACAACAATATATATTTTTAAGCATAGATCAGCGCTTTTTCATCTTGCTTGAAGACTTGAATCCAAGCTTACGTTTCTTAAATGCTTCCATTTCAACGTTCTCTTTTAGTTTCTCCAAAGCTTCACACACAAAAACACAACACCAAAGTTAAAGCTAAAGAAACAAAGTATAGGATTCAACAAAACAAGGGCAAATTTGTAAATTTACCAGCATCATAGGTGGATCTGAGGGATTCTATCGAATCAGATGGAAGTATATGAACAGGACAAGAATCAATGTCGGCTTTCTTCAAAAGCTTCTTGAATTGCTTCACCTGAAACAATAAGTACAATAACGGAATTAATCTCTCAAAGGAATTGAACCAAGGGTATTTTGGTCTTTTTGATTAAATAAAAAAAAAAGTACCTCGTCTTGGTGTAACAAGGTGAAGCAACGGCCTGAATTCCCAGCTCTTGCAGTTCTACCAGCACGATGAATATATGTCTTGATATATGGCGGCTTATCATAGTTAATTACATTTCTAACCCCTTCCACATCCATGCCACGTGTCATCGCATCAGAAGACACCACCACTTGTACTCCACCTTCCCTAAATGCCCTCAACGTCTTGCTATAAAAAAAAAAAATCAATATTTTAATAAGACGAACACAAAATTAATATTAATTTTAACTTGCCTTCTCAAGGTTTGATGTTGATGACCCGAATATTCCTTGATCTTAATTCCCAAATCTCCAAAAAACTTAAGCAAAGTACAGAGTCGGTGAGTCGACTCAACTGAAGATGTGAAAACAATACACTTTTCCCCTTGTAAATTTTTCAAAAGAGAAACAAGGTAAAGAGGCTTCATCTGTTGTTCACATATCTGCAACAAACAACCAAATTTAAATTTATAAAATTTTCCTTTCTATCACAACATTATTTATATACCAATTTGAAGGAGTGGAGATGTTCTGGAAGCTTGTATCGTATGTGTCCAGTTGTCAAGAACAAAGGATGATGCAGATGAAGTTGAGAAAGTTTGGTTGGATCTTGAGTTAATGTTGCAGATAAAACCATCTTCACAAGCCTTGGGTGACCTTTGTTCTTGAATCCCCTTTCTACACCACTGCAATTACAAGTTTCGTCCTTGTATTATTAAATATTTGCAGAAATGGTCCCGGCTTCATGTGTTATTAAATTATTACTGAAATGGTGAAATGGAGTTATGGACCCTTCTGAATTAGAAAATAATACAGATATGGTCCGTGTGATCCCTGCCTAATAGAAATTTTACGGAAATTGTCCCTGTGTTTCACAAAGTTACGGGAATAGTCCATGTAGTTTGGAAAACTACGGAAATGGTCCCTGGTTAATTGAAAAGTATAGGAATTGTCACTTACATTCTCCTTATAGTCTTCAAGGAACCAAATGTAGAAGGATTGGAAAAAAAGCTATCAACAGTAGAATTGGTGCATTGAAGAACCATAGGAAGCCATGACTGATATGATTCCCTAAGCAATCTATCCGTTTCATCAACTACCTGAAATATAATGAGGGCATTTACGTCTTTTACACACACATGAGAGATATGATTCCCTAAGCTATCTATCAGTTTCATCATCAAATTACCAATCAAAAATGTCCACTTGACAAGCTTTCTAGACCTATTTTCAATGATGAGGGCGTTTACGTCTTTTACACACACAAGAGATACAGAGCGAGTCCCTGTCGAAAATTGCAATTTTTGTCCCATTGACATCAATGTCAATCCAATATTCCAATGCATATTAAACGCAATACAACTTGTTATGTTTTGTCATGTCATGTAACAAACAGGGCCAAAATTACATGTTTACCCCTCAAGGATAGTATAATTACCAACACAACATGAATTTTTAACAAAAACTCAAGCAGAAAAATAAGTATATGCAAAAAAAAATGTTCGTTGAAGTCTGGACAAGCTTTCTAGGGCTATTTTCAATGATGAGAATAAGGAGGGCATTAACGTCTTTTGCACAAACAAGAGCTCAAGAGCAAGTCCATGTTCCACCTTGTTCCACTTTTTAGGTAGGAAAAGGATAATTTGTCCCATTAATATCAGTGTCAATCCAATGCACACCAAACACAGTACAATCTGTTCTGTCAAGTCATGTCATAGTATCATACATAAGATATGGGGCCTAAATGACAAATTTACCCCTCAAGTGTATTGAAATTACTAACAAAACTTACCAAAAAACGAAGATGCTCGAGTGTAAAACCTTTGGTGTTGTTAATATGATCCATTAGTCTTCCAGGTGTTGCCACTAATATATCAACAGCACTTTGTAACTCAATGGGTTGATGATGTGGATCATAACATATACCTGCCTCAAGTTTTGGTCTCTCAATAAGCATTGAGATTTCTTCTGATATTGAAGATTGCCCTACTGCCAAACCAACAGATAACCCCACTGCAGGAGCAATTGAGGCAAAAACATCCCTTACCTAAGAAATAAATTTGATCTTCTTTACATTGATTCACTTATGAAAGCATTTTATGTAAATCTGAAGGAAGAATATGTCTAACCTGCAACGCTAAATCACGAGTGGGTAAAACCACTAAAGCTCGAAGACATTTGACAGAACGAGTTGAAAGCATTTGTACAATTGGCAATGCGTATGCTAATGTTTTCCCGCTTCCTGTAGGTGAATTCACACAAAGGTCTCTCTCAAAGGAACCAGGGCCCACGGTTTCTTGCCAAACCGCTACTTGAACAGGAAAAAGCGAATCGATTCCACTATCGCACAAAGCCGCCTCCAGCCTAATTCAATATTCGGACAAGCAGGAATGAACAACAATTTTGGACGTATTTCGTCGATTGAAAAGTATTTAATACGGCATAAACAAAAGCGTAAAGTAATTGAATGAGAGAGATGTTTGTTACCTTGGATTGAGAAATGGAAGCTGAGTAAGGGGACAGTTTTCAAACGAACTAACATCAACTGGACTTCTCATCCATGGCAACACTGCTACTTTCTTTCTCGCAATCTGCTGCTCTTTTGCTTCTTCCTCCATGGTTGCAAAAGAGAAGCTGATGAAGCTCTTCGAACCTTGATGGTTTTGAGGTTGCAGTTTACAGAGTTACAGTGACCGGATGCCCTGAGATCGCTAACATAACCGAGTAGAGCGGCCCTGCCGACCTGCCCTGGTCGTATCCCAGTTTTTGGGCCAGTACCCGGGAGCCCAAAGTGGTTGGGCCTGTAATTTTACTTTAAGGACTATATTTTTGTAAATTTATTAAAAGAATATTTTTAAAGATATTCATCAAAATACCATAAAGATATATATGACAAAAAAATGTTTAGAAAACAGGTCATGAGTTTGAAAATATAGATTTTCGAATAATGTCATAAAAAGTCTTAAGTTTGATCGAAAATATCGGTTTTATCCTCTGACAGATTTTTTGTTCGTTTATGTTGCAAACTTGTCATTTTTTTATTGGTTTTGTCATTTTTATTTGTAATAGTAGGTTTCCAAATTACCATGAGATATTATTTGTGAAAAAACACTTTAGTTTACAAATATTTTATAGAAAAATCCTTAAAATTATAAGCATATGAAATATAAATATATATTCAAAATTTGATAAAACTAAATAGTTTTTTAAAATTTATATATGAAAAGTTTATATCAAATCAATATAAATTTTACCGTACTTATAAAACCAAAACAAAACATATTTTTACCTTTAGTATGGTAAATTTTATATTAGTTAGATATAAACTTTTGATATTTAAATTTTAAAAAATTATTTAGTTGTATCAAATTTTGAATATATTCTTTAATTAATACTTAAACTTTTGTAAGCAAATTAAAAAACGTCTGTTAGCTAATAATTAACTACGTGCTGCATATGTTAAAATAGTTAAACATATTAATAATATAACATTAATTACATTCAATTCATTTTTTAAAAAAAAAATAAAAATATTTTATATGTTTAAAAGGTTTGTATTTCAAAAATTATAATGCATCACTTTTATATTTAAAAATAATAGCCTATACAACTATATTTATTTTTATAAAAAAATATGATATATTATTATTTCTGAAACACAAATCTTTTAACCATATAAAATAATTTTATTTTCGTTTAAAAAAACAATTGTATGGAAATAATGTCACCATATAGTGACTATTATCACCTTTAAAACTATTTTTTGGACCATGAATATATACAACAAATCCAAAAAACCACGTAAGTCTATATCACACCGACTTATCTTGAGACGAATTTGGGACATCACTTTACACTCAATTAGCACATGCCGAATACCTTCTGTAGAATTAAAACAAGTCGGACATAAGGAATAATGAATGCCAATACCACAACTAAACAAGTTTTTTTTGGTAGGAAAACGGTCAAATGCAACTCTCTATCGAAATATATTAACCTTACTAAGAAAGATTTTATTCGATAATTAAAAAAAAAATAGAACTTGTTTTCATTGTTTGTAAATATCTTAAAATTTTGTAAAGAAAAATGGAGATTATTTTTATTCGAACAATTCTTATATATATATATACTAGATTATTTTGTTTCTTACATTTATTGTGTGCTAGAATGCACCAATAGGAATTGAGTAAATTAAATAATTATTTAATTAAATAAATATAGATATTAAATGATTTCCATAATTATATGTATATTAAATGATATCCATAATTATAATTCTCTTTTTATTGAAACTAATTAAATCTGTCATTAATGTCAACAATAACATTCCTTCAGAATGAATTCGCATCTAGGTTTTTATATATGAGTTCGTATTTTGTTTCAGAACTCACTCACTTAAAATACAATAAAGTTGCATGGAATATGAAGAACGAGAGTGTATTCTACTAGAATACACTCTCATTCTGCTGGAATACACTCTCATTCTTCTAGATATGAGTTCATTCTGAAAGAATATTATTGTTGACATTAATGACGAATTTAATTAGTTTCCATAAAAATGAGTTATAAGTATGGATAACATTTAATATACATATAATTAATACTAAATTCTTATTGGTGCATTGTAGCACACAATAGATGTGAGAAACATTTGAACCTACCTATATATATATATATATATATATATATATATATATATAGGTTTTGAAGCTCGGAAATTTTATCTTGTAAAAAACATTATTGAAAAACATGCTCAAAAATTATAATCTTCCTTTATTTTTGAAAATAATATGTGTTATTTTTTCGTAACTGATGTTGGGTTCGAAATAGTTGTGAGGTGTCGAAGCATTCTATGTCTTTTGTTAGTATCGAAGTCAATGTTGTTTATTTTATAAGGGTATACTGTAATGTCGAAACGTATTTTTTATTTGCTTTTGCCATCCCTATAAATAGGGGTTAGATATTAGAGTTAGAGTATCTTTCGAAGTCATTGCTACTTGTACTCTATTTTTCTCTGTATCTTCAAAAGCAATATATTAAGCCAAATATAAATTATTTACGATTCTATGTTCTTATTTGATTCATATTCTAATTTCATTTCATACATTCGATTCATAACAACTACATTTGGTATCAGAGCAGAATTCATATAGTTGATCTCTAATTTTCTCTAGTTTTCAAAAGTTTTTTGGTCTCGCTTTGGATTCAAAATTTCCGCACTTTTGATTATGAAAATATATTCAAATCATCTAATTTGATTCGATTATGTTCTTAGTTTGTTAATCGAGTGTTCCGAGTTTGATTTCTGGAAATTTCATCCATCAGATATTAATTTCTGAAGCTTTTTCCAAAACTCGTCTGTACAACAATGGCAGTTTTCAATATGAACACAATGACTTCTTATTCACATCTTCTTGGTTCTTCGACCAAAATTCCTATGTTGATCCCTGAGTACTACGATCAATGGGTAGATAGGATTGAAGACTATCTGAATAGAATAGATGAAGATCTCTGGAAATGTATAACTGGTGATGTTGGTTCTCCGAGTTCGTTACAAAATATTGGATCTGCTGCTTCTAGTCCTGAAGTTTCTAATCTAGCAGAAAAGAAGATGAAGAATGAATTGATAGTAGCACAGTCCTTTTGGGTTGCCTTCAAACCTGACAATTGAATAGGATGATTGTTAGAGAGAGAATAATGATTTATTAATTTATTACTTGGTTAATAAATTAATTAAAAATCAAAATAAATTATTTATTAATGTATTTTGGAAATAATATATTAATTAGAAATCATATTGTTTAACTAATATTTAATCAGAAATTAATTTGGAATTAAGTTTGGGGTTAAAGGAATTCATTAAAGTGCATAGACTAACGGTGACAATGTTCAATAGTTGAGCATTGGGCAATTCTAGAACCTCCCTAAAGAGGAGGGAACGAAATCTAGAATGTCTCTAGGGTTTCCTTAGGCTCTAAGGGTGCCTTGAATGCCTTAGGGAGGAAGTTAAGGGATTAGGGTTATCTTGGAGATACCTGCCTTATCCAACATCTTCCTAACACCTATATAAACCCTCTTTAGGGTAGAATTTCGGCCATGACTTCTTTCTAATGCCTTTGACGAAATTTTGGTCCCTTCCCTCTCTCTCTATAGTTTTCCTTGGTTGTTGGGTTTGTTTGTGAACCATTAGAGGCGCGGCACTTGTGGTGCTTGCTACCAAAGGTCTTTCAATCAAGGATTCGAGATTGTTTACAATAACAATCTTAAAAGGTATGTATCTAAACCCTAGTTTATTCTTATTTTCGATAATTATAGTTGCCTCCTAGGGTTTCTTGTTTTTGTGTTCAATACTTGCATGTCCAATAGTAAAAACATAGATCCTACAAACTAGGGTTGCATACACACATAGGGATTGTATGTTATGCTCAAAACCCATCAGAAGTAGATCCTTTCAACGCTTCAACCACAGACAAACTAGCACCCGATAGCTGAGGTGCCCGATCCGAAGAGATGGTCACACGAGGATAGCCAGGACCAATCAAGTCGCTGTTAACCCATAACCACCGGTCCTGTCAGTTCTTTCGAGGAGCCCTCTGGTTAACAAGAAACAAATGAGTATTGTGCCGCTGAGAGGAAGTATGTACGCCAGACTGGGTGGACGAGTTAAAGAAGAATTGGAAGGCCCGGAGTCGAGGAAGTACACCCAAGGTACGACATGCCAACTCAAACCCGCCAATCTTGTTAACGACATTAGGAGTGAGATCGTCCAAAAATAAGCCATACTCGCGTATAACCTCATCAAATAAATCTGATATTGGCAGCCGAAGACTCGCTTCGAAAATTGACACAAGGACTTCAAACTTTCCAGTCGGAGGCTGATTGAAAATAGCCCCTTTCTTTGGAAATTACACACCGTGTTCAGGCATAAACCCAAACGGAAAACTGAAGAGACTCGAACTATTCTGGTGTCGGGTCGCTCCCAGATTGCACAAACATCATTATAGATCTCGAAGAGAAAATGGTTAGAAAAGAATGTCAAATAGAAGAAGACTAAGACAGTTGAATCATATGAGGTACAAAGATTAAAACTGCTCCTAGTAAAGGGGAATTTTAAATACAAAGCGGAAGAATTAGTTGGTTGCCCCAGTAAAAACTGTCTGCACAGCCGACCCCGTTACGTCAGTAGACGTCAAAACCATCCTTGTCGAACACGTGCCTTGATCTAAACTAGAACAACTCAGCTAATCAAGTCTAATGATGGCGTTTACTAGCCTAGGGGACTTATTAACATATACCTCTAAGAATACGTCAAAGATAATGGGACGATTATCTAAAGGAAGACCTAGCTAATGGTCGCTACCTAGCTTAAGTACTAAACCGGGCCCTCGCCCTCGCAACCTCTTACTTAGGCCCTAGAGTTCTAGCGCCAAGGTCCAGCTCAGAACTATTGGCTCCAGCCCACAACAAGCCAAAACAATACCAACCACTCTCCCAGAGTGACAAGTGGAGTGTAACGCCCGGTTCCCGGTACGTATTTTAAATATGAGTTTTGCATTTTTATATTGGGACTCGACGGGTTGATGGACCAACTCGGCGAGTTGGGTCAACCAGGATATTAACTTTGACCAGAGCGTTGACTTTGACTTTGACCATTACCCACGATTGACCCTTAAAGGGGATATGAGTATCATGGAGTGACTAAAGG